CTATGCCTAGGTACAAAATCACAAAAACGAACTTTATTTCTGCAGTCACATCTGAACAGTTCTGGAGGTACTCACTGAAGGCACTGACTGAGGAAGGACTACCTCAAGAATAACGTAGTTACTCTTTAGCACTCTAACTACAGTATAACGCAGAAAACCCAAAAGGAAATAAAGATTTACTTTTATACTTCCACGATCTTAGTAACTAACCAATCAAATCAATTATGTTGACACGTTGGACATATATTATCCATACTAGAAATCACACACGACAATATTAAGTAGGACAATTGAACATATATGTTTGTCACATAGTTGTATACTTGCTTTTTAAAGGACTGCCAGTCATAATGTCCTCAATTACATTTTTACATAGTTTAAGTAGGTCTAATCTGTACAATAAAACTAACACAATTTCTTGACGTTTAAACAGTTTTAAAATTCTGTTCCTTAGCTGAATCACCAAGGTGTTCTAGAAACAGTGGCCTCTTTGAGCGATGACTATAAACATGCAGAGCGATTTGAACGCTCACTTTCTTTCTTGCTGCTCACAGAAATGCTTCAGTTACTGCAGATCTGTAAAGGGTTCTTCTAGCTTTCCTGCCCATACAATAAGATTATTGTATGGCTGGTTTACACGGTTAGTTACTTTTGGTCTATTTCCTTTCTTACCTGTGTAAGTCTCCTACAAGATCTTGTCTTAATTCTTGCTGCTCCTTTCTTATAACAATAAGAAAGTTAATTTCTCTTCATATTAGGCCTCTCCCAGTTTAGCCCAGGTTGAATCTCATAAAACAACTTTATCACTGGGCCAGTCCCTGGAGAGAGAGGCTGACTATCCAACAGTAGTGCTGTTTGTATAATGGCTTTAAATGCCCACCATGTTAACAGAGCCTTCTTACTGTGCACATGTAACCTGTGTCCCTAAGACACAGGCACACCAAGTGCTCAAAGCCTAAAATCCTAGAGGTAGTGGCTTTACACTTGCTAAGGGGTTACGTTGTAAGGCAAATAAAATGATGATTTCCAGTAGAAATAATAAAAGAAAGGGGAAATGTTCTCAATATAAAAACATAAGGGTAACAGAAGCATGGGAAAGGAGTCACTTCAATTATTTTTACTTTGAGAAAAATATCAATTTCAGTCAAAATATGACTATGGCTATTTCTAACTCTGATAAATCAATTTGAAATACAGAAAAATGGGAAAGTTCAGTCCCTAAAAGCTTTTGTTTTCAACTACGAGATAGGCAAATAAATTACAAATGGACTAATAAAAATGTTTAGTAATGGTTAAGCAATGTTTAAGAAGTTACAGTGACATTAAAACCCTGGGCGTGGTGGCTCATGCTTGTAATCCCAGTGCTCTGGTATGCTAAAGCAGGACAATCTCAAATTCAAGTTCAGTCTAGACAACTTGGTAAGTTAGTGAGACTCCATCTCAAAATTAACAATAACAACAACAATGATTAAAAAGGCTGGGGATATAGCTCCATATAAATGCCTTGGGTTCAATTCCCAGTTCTGTAGGGGAAAAAACAAAACAAAGAGTCCCTGAAATTTGATTAAAAAGCAAATACAATCTTTCATAAATATGATAGTACTACATAAATGATCCTACAAATTCTATAGAGAAAAACTATGAGATAATTAAAAGCAGAGACTTGGTTGCCTAGGGGACAGAGTCATCAGACGGATGAAATATTCAAAATGCAAACTTGAGAAGTACTCCAAAAATCTTTAAATGATTAATCATTCAAACAATAAACATATATATCATTTTACAGAAAATACTCAAAAGAAATGTGTGTCCTTCCTAAAATAAGCCTATTTCTGCAGTAAAATAAACTATTATTGGCTTATTTTAATGGATGTGATGAAACATTTTTGACATCCTGCTAATCAGTGAGTCAAAGCAAGATCGTAACATGCCTAAAAACGTTGTGGCTGGTAACGATAAAATAAGATGCCTTTGCTTGGTATTCTCAAGATAATAGATTACTCCTAGAAACAAAATTAATTATTCATAATGGACCTTAGTACTATATCAAGGTTAAGCATCCTCCCTTCGATTCCCAATACGAGGTCAATTAATTAATTGCTAGAAATATTTATTAAGTGATAAAGGAAAACAGGGAGAGAATTCCTAAAAAAGATACCTGAAAATCTTCCATTTTGCATAAAATTCTCTAACACTTGTTGGATATACTATATGCAAACAGAGTGCACAACAAATGTGCAACAAGGAATGAGAAGTCTGAAGCATCTCTTTTGTGGTGTCTATTTTCTACTGCAGGAGTCAGACAAAAAGCAAACAAGTAGAGAAGTGAGACATGAAGAATATACAATAGGGCGGTGTAAACACAGGATGCGAGTAACACTATGCAACAGGTGTTCAGAGACATCGTCGCGGGGATGTACAGAGAGGAGCACCGAAGCATCGTTTACGGAGTAAACAAACGTAAAACACCTGCAGTCTCTGTGGTCACTGATCATGTGCCTACGGCATGCTGAAGGAACCAGGCGGGAATATGGGCAGGACAGTATTAGACTTTCAAGTCGTATTTTGAACTTAAAACCAATGCTGTCAGATATGACATACAATATAAAGTTTAAGCAAAAAATAAGGCTGTTATGTGTGGCTGTGTAAATGTCAACACATAAATGGACATCAGCAGGTCTTCACAGCAAAATACACAAAGGAGTGATCTTGTAGAAATGGATGGAAACCCAAGGAGGTCATGAGCTGTGGAGCCCTTCGCAATGACAACCTGTTTTAATGTTTCCTAAGTAAAATATGTTCACTCACTGTTTCTGTAATTAGTATATAGACAAAATTAAAAATCGATTTTAACAGAAATTAAAAAGGATAGACACTTGACAAATCCAAATCAGAACACAATTTCTAATTTCAGCTTTCTGATTGCAATCTCAAAAGCATCATTTAAGCCAGCCCTTTTCTGTATTAAAAGAAGCAGCATTATATCTTCACTGTTCATTATATTAGAAGAATCTATACTAAAATGTAAAGATACCACATCAATAACTATTATACATATTAACATAAAATATGATCAAAATAGAACAGATATAAACTATATAACTGTTTTAATCTTCATTGTTTAAAAACTCACTCAGAAAAAACAATTTTAGTGATGAAACAATCTGGTGAAAAGTGTAATGGGACAGAAATTCTATCACCATGGGGAGCTTTTTGATAATTTTTGAGATACAACAAAGAAATGTGAACTACATTGATCTCTTGAGATTATTTGCTTTGAAACACGAGTAAACACAATCCTCAGAGGATTTTTTTTTTTAAGGACAACTTCAAAGTTAAGTTTTGTAAAGCAACACATGTTTTTTTGTGATGGGGAAGAGTCATGTTATCAGCAGATGTTAGGGGAGGTAGAGTGTGACAGATTCCTAAGGTTAACACGGCACTCAGAGACCCAGAGGTCATAAATTAAATTTAACACCTAGTACCATGTGTGAAAAGATGCTAACAGAAGGACCACATAGAGGAATGTTTCCTCTTGTAGTGCTCCCTTAATAGTTCTAAAAGACTTGTGGAATTACTTTTCCTCTGTTTAAATTAACATACAAGCATACTCTACACATCAAAAGATAAAATTAAATCAAAGCTGGTTCTTATGCAAAGTGATAATCAAATAGCTAATGTGAGTTTAAGGAAGAATATTCTTCTTATATAGAAAATATTTGGATAGGTTTTTATAGCATTGAATTCTTCCCTTGGTTATACACATAATAAGCAACACCTCAGCATCCACCAGAGCTTGCCCAGCTATTGGGAGACAGTAAGTCTGGGAAATTTTACTACCTAAATTTCACAATGAAATCACAAAAAGAATAAATAATGATGTCAGTAAAAACAGTCATCTCATATTACCTCTAGGGAACGGAATTGCTTTATGGTACTAAGGTTCAAAATCCTAAAAATATCAGAATTTATAGTAATTACGTATGTTCAATGTTATTAATTGTTTAACAATTAAAGATCATTTAAATTATATCAATACTGTAAGACTAAGAAACTTATTAGGGAATTTTCTCTTTTTCCTGAAAATAGTGAAACTTTTCTTTTTCTTGACTCTTTGGTCAGAGATAACATCATAAAATCCCACATATAGATCATATTTGGGATCAGGAACATCAGAAAACTCTTAGAAGAAAAAGAACCAAAAAAATCTTGTGTTCTGTTCAACAACATGCAAATAGTAGTATAATCTTTCAAGACTGACAAATATTTATTTCCCCTCTGTCAAAAACATAAAACAACTAGGAAATACAAAGAGTTTGTAATCTACCTAGGTACTTAAAAGTATTGGTGTTTAATACTTGATTTTTCTGCTTTTGAGACATAAAAATCTTGCAGATTTATCAAAGTGATAATGATGAATTTGGCCAGATATCTTGCAATTACTTGCACCAACAACAATTCTTATCCTTAGAGCAATTACTTTCTTGTGTGCATGAATTTATGAAATATGAATAAAAAGTTAAACAAGATTCAAATTTTTCATAGCAATACAATTTGGAATGAACATATAAATATTACATTATTTTGATAACAGATTCAAGGTCACACAAGTAATGTTTCAAATACATGATGATAGAAATTGGTATTTTATTCTACAGTGTTCAGGAGTATTACTAGAGAAAGATATGGAAATGCCTTTAAGCTTCCATAATTCTAAAGTATCAAGCTTTGAAAAAAATCCTCATGGAATTCACATTGCAATGTAGATCACACATTAGGTAGTTTGACCCTATCTCAGGCAGCAACCCAATGGCATTATGACATGCAAACACACCCATCGTGCTTTCCTACAGACTCAGAGGGGAAATATGAATGGCTTCTTTCTGCGTATAACTCAACATCCCACTGACTGATCATCTTCCTGCTAACAAGCTAGCAAATGAAATAATTTAATGTATGTTGGCTATTCAGTCCAAAGAAATGTAAGAAAACATACTTACATTTTGGAGTCATCCCACAACACACAGTAGGGATTCAAAGTTCCCTAAAAATAAGCAGACAGAAAATAAATAACTCTTGAGTGCATACATAATATAATAAAGGATTCACTAAATGCACAGAGAAAAATTTTTTATCTCAAAGAAGGTATTTTAAATGTTCTTTGTTGGTTTTTTCTCACAGAAATTCTATGAAAGCAATATACTTGTTCGAAATATCATAATGCACATTAAATTTTGTTGAAAATTAAAAATCTCATATACTGCAAGTCTGTATTTTAGAAGTTCACTTATCTGTATATTGAGATTTCAAATTCATATTTATTTCTCTAAAATATCAATTGTGGGATTAATTTAGGGAAATCCAAGATATTTACAATGTTTACATCACAAACACCCAATGTGATGCCCTTGGACAGTCGCCATTTCTCCTGCCTCTCCAGCCTCTGTTGGTTCTTGCTAGAGGAGGGTTTGTATATTAACTATCTGTTGCCAGAGAGCTGCTTGACTTATATCATCCTAATCAATAGCTTCTATTTGGATAGAATTGGATTTAACAAAAGTTTTAGAAAGAACTGCTTGACTTTCACTCAGCTCCATAATTATGTATGGAGCACACACAGTGGATGTATCGAGCATGGCACAACAGATGACATGGTGAGTTTTCCTACCTTCTTTTACTTTTGGAAGAGTGCTAGTCATTTTTACTTTCTGTCTGTTCGCATTTATGGGGCTTCATTTTATTTTTTGAAACTAACTTAAGTTTTTCTTTAATCAAAATGTTTAGATGTCTACTTCCAAAGAGTCTTCTGTCGAGATCTGGGGTGCCCTCACTGGCCTCTCTGCGTGTCTGGAGGACTCTGGATTTCTGCGCCCAGACTGCTGGAGTTCCCTCAGGCTTCCAGGTGCAGTGAAGGAGAGAGGTGGGTTTGAGGCTTCCACATCAGCCTCCCCATTCCCGGCTTCATTTGGAGACCTGCTGAGCTCCCGATAGGTGGGCTGGCCCACACTACCAGCCTAGCCCAGCCTGTTTAGCTGCTGCGCCTGGCCACAGGTCTGCAGAGGAGGAGCTGGGCAGATCTGGGGTGCCCTCACTGGCCTCTCTGCGTGTCTGGAGGACTCTGGATTTCTGCGCCCAGACTGCTGGAGTTCCCTCAGGCTTCCAGGTGCAGTGAAGGAGAGAGGTGGGTTTGAGGCTTCCACATCAGCCTCCCCATTCCCGGCTTCATTTGGAGACCTGCTGAGCTCCCGATAGGTGGGCTGGCCCACACTACCAGCCTAGCCCAGCCTGTTTAGCTGCTGCGCCTGGCCATAGGTCTGCAGAGGAGGAGCTGGGCAGATCTGGGGTGCCCTCACTGGCCTCTCTGCGTGTCTGGAGAACTCTGGATTTCTGCGCCCAGACTGCTGGAGTTCCCTCAGGCTTCCAGGTGCAGTGAAGGAGAGAGGTGGGTTTGAGGCTTCCACATCAGCCTCCCCATTCCAGGCTTCATTTGGAGACCTGCTGAGCGCCCGATAGGTGGGCTGGCCCACAGTACCAGCCTAGCCCAGCCTGTTTAGCTGCCGCGCCTGGCCATAGGTCTGCAGAGGAGGAGCTGGGCAGATCTGGGGTGCCCTCACTGGCCTCTCTGCGTGTCTGGAGGACTGTGGATATCTCTGCAACCAGGGAGGGTCCACAGGTTCCTGAAGCACTGCGGCCTGTGGTGAGTACCCTAACCCGGCTGCGATTGAAGAACTGTGGAGCTTCCAAGGGGCAGGTGGGCGCACAGTGTCCCTGAGGCCCAGCTTGTCTGGAACTGCGGAGTTCTGAGCAGGCAGAGGAGGGCCACTGGTTCTGTAGGCCTAATGGCTTGGAGTAGTGCGGCGCCAGAGTCCCAGTAGCTCCAAACATAGAAGGGGATTTTCAACAGATCCTGAGGAAGCTTTCAAATAACACTTGAAACACAGAAATATAGGAAAATGACAAAACGAAAGACCAAATTACAACCTCAAACCTCCAGCCCATCTCAAGAAACCCTAGGAGCGATGTATATAGAAGAAAATATATCCCATCCACCTCATATATCGGACACAATAGCCACTGAAATTGACAAGCAACTCCAGGAAGCTTTAAAGAAATTCAAACTCGAAATAATCTCCCAGATAAAAGAAGAAATGATAAAAGAAATGAAAGAGATTCTAAATATATCTAAAGAAAACACAGATAAAAAATTGGAGGAACTAAACAAAAAGATAGAATCCCTAGACGAGCAATATAAGAAACAAACAGAATACATAATGCAGATGCACAGAGATATACAGGAAATAAAAAACTCCACTGAAAGTTGTAAATACCGCCTTAATGAAAGTGAAGATAGAATTTCAGACCTTGAAGACAGGATTGCAGCTAGTGAACAGGAAAGGAAAGATCTTTTGAAAATAACAAGGAACCAGGAAACAACAATTCAACAACTGCAAGACAATGTAAAGAAGAATAACATAAGAATGATAGGGATTAATGAAAGAGAGGGAGACAACATGAAGGATGTCCGGAGGATATTTAGAGAAGTAATAGCTGAAAATTTCCCAAGCATGAGATCAGAAACTGACATCAGGATCAGTGAAGCATATAGAACTCCAAACAGTCATAACCAAAATAAAACTACACCCAGACATATAATAGTCACCATCCCAGAAATCCAACACAAGAATAGATTATTAAAAGCTGTCAGAGAGAAAAGACAGATCACTTATAAAGGAAAACCTATCAGAATCACAGCAGACTTCTCAGCACAAACGATAAAGTCAAGAAGAGCATGGAGTGAAGTATTCCAGATCCTAAAGCAAAATGATTTCCAACCAAGACTGATATATCCTGCAAAACTATCATTCAAAATAGATGGTGCAATACGATACTTCCATGACAAAGAACAGCTGAAGAACTTCATGAACACCAAACCGACCCTGCAAAAAATATTGAAAGACAGTTTAGATACACAAAGGAAAAAACCACTAAGCAAAGCAAATAATTAAACAGAACAGAAAGATAAAGATGCAACAGCAGAGAGATAACATTCCTACAATTAACCAGCATTTAACAGTAATAACCATTAATGTAAATGGTCTCAATGCACCAATCAAAAGAAACAGACTAGCAGAATGGATCAAGAAACAAAATCCAACCATATGCTGTTTACAGGAAACCCATCTAACCCAGAAAGATACTCACAGACTGAAAGTCAAAGGATGGAAAACAATTCTTCATGCAGCAGGAATCCAAAAAAAGGCAGGAGTAGCCATTCTGTTTGCAGACAACGTGAACTTTAAACCAACAATGACCATAAAGGACAAAGAAGGTCACTACATACTCGTAAGGGGAAAACTCCAAGAGGAAGAGATAACTATCTTAAATATATACGCACCAAACTCCAGAGCACCCAGTTATATAAAACAATTATTAACAGAAATGAAAACTCAAATTATCAGTAACACAATTGTAACAGGAGACCTTAATACACCACTGACACCAAGGGACAGATCAACCAGACAGAAAATGAGCAAAGAAATAACAGAACTGAATCACACCTGTGAACAAATGGGTTTGATAGACATATACAGAATGTTCCACCCAACAACATCAGAATACACATTCTTCTCAGCAGTACATGGATCATTTTCTAAAATAGACCATATATTAGCTCACAGAACATATTTAAGCAAATGCAAAAGAGTTGAAATCATCCCTTGCATATTATCGGATCATAGCGCTCTGAAATTAGAAATTAATGACAAAGGATACTGCAAAAATTCCGCAAACACATGGAAACTAAATAACACACTCTTGAGTAATCAGTGGGTCACAGAAGAAATTAAAGAAGAAATTAAACAATACCTAAAAGAAAATGAAAATGCAGATACAACTTACCGGAATCTGTGGGATGCAATGAAAGCCGTTCTGAGAGGAAAATTTATTGCACTGAGTTCCCACATCAGGAAAACAGAACGAATACAAATAAATAACTTGATGCTACACCTCAAACAGCTAGAAAAAGAAGAGCAAGTCAAGCCCAAAGCCAAAAGAAGAGAGGAAATTATAAAAATCAGAGCAGAAATCAATGCAATAGAGACTAAGAAAACAATCCAAAGAATCAACGAATCAAAGAGTTGGTTCTTTGAAAGAATAAATAAAATCGATAAGCCCCTAGCCAACCTTATTAAAAAAAGGAAAGAAAAAGCTCAAATTCATGCAATAAGAAATGAAAAAGGAGAAATCACTACAGACCCAATAGAAATACAGAGGATCATCAACACCTATTTCGAAAACCTCTACTCTCAAAAGTTTGATAACACAGAAGAAATAGACAGATTCTTAGAAGCATATGAAGCACCAAAGCTAGATCAAGAGGATATAAAACTGTTGAATAACCCAATCTCTGCTAATGAAATTGAGAATGTAATTGGGTCCTTGCCCACCAAGAAGAGCCCAGGCCCAGATGGATTCACTGCAGAATTCTACAAGAAATATAAAGAAGACCTAATGCCGACACTCCTCAAACTATTCAATGAAATTGAAAGGGAAGCAATCCTTCCTAAGTCATTCCTGGAAGCAAATATTACTCTAGTACCAAAACCTGAGAAAGACCCAACTATAAAAGAGAACTATAGACCGATCTCCCTAATGAACACAGATGCAAAAATCCTCAATAAAATATTGGCAAATAGGATCCAGCAAATCATCAAGAAGATTATACACCATGACCAGGTGGGATTCATCCCAGGAATGCAAGGATGGTTCAACATACGCAAATCAATAAATGTAATCCACCATATCAATAAAGCCAAAAATAAGAATCACATGATCATCTCTATAGATGCAGAAAAAGCCTTCGATAAGGTCCAACACTTATTCATGATAAGAACTTTACAGAAAATTGGAATAAATGGTCTTTACCTCAATATAATAAAGGCCATTTATGACAAACCAACAGCCAGCATCATACTAAATGGCCAAAAATTGAAAGCCTTTACTTTAAAATCGGGTACAAGACAAGGATGTCCTTTATCACCACTC